TTATCGAAAACTCAAGTTTATGAGTGGTACAAAGCCTTTCAGGACGGTCGTACGACCGTCGAAGACATTTCGCAACGCACTACTGAGGGGAACTGGTTTCAACAGCTGCCGTAAACGAACTGTCTGACAGATCGCGCTCATTTTTGGCATAGTAATTAAGGACAGTGCTGCCAAACTACATAAACTTAAAATATCGAAAAATATACAGCGCGCGAATTTTAAATGAGAATTTCCGAAAACTTTTCAGTCTTAATGTATATAGATATAGCAAATACTCCATGTATTTTCACAGTTTACCAAATTAATTATAATAATATTTATTGAAAGCTGTTATATACAATGTATATAATCTCCACTTCTGGAGATGGCATTGTAATACAGCTAAAACTTTCTGCAATGGATTTTTAATATAAAATATAATCTATTAAACTAACACTTTTCCCTATACTATATACCCTTTTCCCTATATATATATATATACCCTATACTTTTCCCTACACTACATTGTGACCGAAAAGCTTTCGGAAATTCTCATTTAAAATTCGCGCGCTGTATATTTTTCGATATTTTAAGTTTATGTAGTTTGGCAGCACTGTCCTTAATTACTATGCCAAAAATGAGCGCGATCTGTCAGCCAGTTCGTTTACGGCAGCTGTTGAAACCAGTTCACCTCAGTAGTGCGTTGCGAAAAAAACAATGGAAAAAAATATTGAACAAAGAGTTTGCATCAAATTTTGTTTTTCGAACGAAATTTCGTGTGCAGAATCGTTGCGAATGCTACAAAAGGCTTATGGGGAATCAGTTTTATCGAAAACTCAAGTTTATGAGTGGTACAAAGCCTTTCAGGACTGTCGTACGACCGTCGAAGACATGCCGCGTTCTGGACGACCTTCGACCTCTACCACCGACGAAAACATTGAAAAGGCAAAGGAAATCGTGTTCAAAAATCCTCATGTGAGTGTTAGAGAGATAGCACGAGAGCTAGGCATCGGTCGTGAGATGGCTCGTTTGATTTTGGTGGACAATTTGTGTATGCGACGTGTCAACGCCCGGCTTGTTCCGATTCACCTCAATTTGTTCAACATTATCAACGATTTTAAGGCCAAACATTCAATAAATACCATCGAACAGCCACCGTATTCACCTGATCTTGCACCGTGTGACTTTTTCCTGTTTCCCAACCTCAAATTACCACTCAGAGGAACGCGTTTTGAATCCATAGAAGACGTAAAACAGAATTCGCAGAGGGAACTCAAAGCCATACCGGAAAGCGCCTATAAAATGTTTTGATGATTGGAAAGCGTTTGCATTTGTGTATCGCTTCTAATGGAGCATATTTTGAAGGAGATAAAATAAATATTGATGAAGATTAAGAATTTTGCGTTTTATTTAAAATTTTCCGGAAACTTTTCGGTCACAATGTATATAAAATTGTTAGTTCCATTGGTGTTCAATGTACTATATATATAAATATTATTGTTAATACCTCTTTGTGTTCTTAAAAATGAACTACCATCTGTGTTTTTCAATATTTAAAATTATCTTGATCAAGTAATTTATTTAGGCTTTTCCGAAATTTCAATTTTTTCTATACCTTATGGAACTTAATAAGATTATTTGCTTATATTGTAAATAAATAAATTCATTTTCATTTCAAGTTTTCCGTCATAATCACGCCATCACCGTTGGCATTTATAATCCTGATATTGATTTATTATTCAAATTATTATTATTTTTCAATATGTTTGTTTATTTATATTTAGCTTTACTTTACCTTACGCAGCTGAATTATAAATGCAATTATAAATTTTGATGTAGTAAATAACAGAAATACCAGTTCATTAATGAATTATATACAGGTTTATAGGTATGCCTACGATTAAACCAATATCTAATCTAAACACATTTTTGAAAATTGTGATAAATCCAGTTGTTAAATCGGTTAGAAGCGTAACATGTATAATATATGTATGATCTTGAGATCGAATTAACACACGCCATATGTATTTTTATGAATGGGTATTTTTGACTAGAATTCTATTAAAGAATTCTTTGAGATTAAGATTAACTATCTATTAAATTTCTATGAATAAATATTTTTAGTTAGATTTTAGAAATTTAGCACTTATTGCATAAAAAATTGCAAGGAAATGGAAACATACATATATAAAACTACTTATTGTTATATTGACCTTATACATAAGGTCAATATGCTTCCATCTGGGTTTAGAGTAGCGTTAATAAAAAATAGATATAGAACCTACTTTACAGAATTTATTTACCTCTTTCGTAAGAATATGTGTGCCCAGGAGTCTATTCCGTTTGCATATTAGCGTGGGGCATCCAACAGCTCATGTGTGGTCGACTTCTCATTCTCTTCTGCGTATGTATACGCAGTCTCGTAAGATGGTAGTTTAGTTTATAGTGCCCTGTTAGGATTCCTGTAGTAATTATAAGTTTTTCTTTTGATAGGTTTATATCGTATAATCCTAATATCTCTTATTGTTACAGGTACCAATAAGTGATTTGGATTTTATTAATCCTGGTATATTATCCCAATAAATGCTATAATTAATATTTAAGTAAAGTGTCTGCATTTGGAACTTGTTTGAAAAATGAACCAACTACATTTCTGAAACTAGTTTTACTTTAAATTCAATTTAATATTGCGCTCTATGCTCTGACTAGAACCGCTAATGAATAAAGTGCTTTAATGGTGCTTGTTATTTAAGTGGTAAACAGATCTCCCTACAGTTCTTTTATATATATATATATATATATATATATATATATAGAGAGAGAGAGAGAGAGAGAGACCAACTATGTATACATCAAATGGAGATAGCTGGGTTAAGTATGTGTGTGTAGCTCTATTAATGTACCTTCCAAATTTTTCTTTCAACTACTTTAATTTTTTTCTTCAACTTTACTTTTAAAATATACACCAGTAATTTTAGTAACAGATATCTAAAAGGTAGAAACAAAAAAACAAGGAGTTTCAAAAAAAAACCAATATGGGTCGATCCCCTAAACCTCACCCTTGAATATATAGTATGCTATGCTCACATGAAAAATTAAATTTCGTAATAGTAACTACTAGGGTTCAACTAGTAATGAATAGAAGGTAGTCTGCAAAGCATTACTTCTTGGGTAAATAGTTCTCTGAAATTTCTTACTCATTTTCATTTAAATTCTCTTTGGCTTACGTTAGATAAGAAAATTGATTCTAAGTATCCGCTTAGATACATTAGCTCAATCTGTTACTCAAACATTTTTTAAGGCGTTTAAACTTGAAACGCCTTAAATAATTAGTAGCCTTTAATAATACCTAAGATACTATTTAAGGAGAGGTACTGCAGTTGATTAAGATTCTATGAAATGTGAGCCTCTAGCATATTATATTAATTATTTCTTTATTAATTAATTATAGTTTAAAAAGAATAAATTAACTTTGTTTTCATAGTTGTAAAATAAATTGAGTGATATATGATTTATGTTCGCAATATATTGTACTTGTAAAAACACATATATATATATATATGTATATAGATATATTCTCTGACATTGTTAACTTTTAAATAAAATACTATCAGAGATATTGTATTCGTGGAAATAAGTTTCCTTCAATTTTAATTTTGAATTGCATTTATTTTATGAATTTGTTATTTGTCTGTATAATCTATAATTATTGTTGTTAAATTTTTCCGTATAAAACCGTCTCTGCTATTGAACACCACGTAACAAAAACTCAGCAGCATATAATCTAACAGCTTGACCATTCACCCCGTCTAACCGACCGACCGACCGACCAACCAACCAACCGATTAACCACACAAAGATTCTCACTCGCTAGTAACAATTTCAGTTGATTTTAAATTATTTGATTCCATGGGTGTAGCCAAAGGGGCAATACGAGATGTTGACCATTAAAAATTATATAAGTATTATTTCAGAATCAAAGGGAATAAGAGGTAAAAAACTCGACTACTCGCTTACTAAGCGAGTAAGCATCTTATACGGCTATTGAAAGCATAAACTTGGTTTGATTGACTTTTGGATTTAGTGACTGATATTAAATCGACATAGAGTGGAGCTCTATTATTACTTTTATTTGAAGAAACGGAAATGACAGAAATTTTATATCAGTCATCATTTATTTTTGTAAAATACCAAAAAATTTTCCTTAGCGACTGTTCCCCTTGGTCACATTTCCATTCCATCGACCAGATGCGCGTTTGGATTGAGTTTTTCTTACAGTAACTGTGATATATTGATCGGCATAAATTGGAGCTCTATTGATAATTTTATTAGAAGAAACATTTCAATTTATGTCTTTTTATCAGTTTTGTAAGAGAAAATTACAAAAGTGGTTTCTTGGAGACTGTCCGGCTTGGCCACATTTCAACCCAAACAACCAAATGTTCGATTGGATTAAACTTTGTTTTTGATAACTGATATATTAATGAACATAAAGTCGGGGTCCATTGATAATATGTTTTGAAGAAGCATTTTATTTTCTGTAGATCATTTTTCTGTAAACGGAAATTACAAATATGGTTATTTGTAGACTGTCCCTCTAGGCCACATATCTTCGCTACACCCATGTCTGATTCTGTATAATTTTTTTTACTTGTTTTTTTTTTTTTCATAAGTCGTTTTTGCAGATATATGTAGCTATGTGTATATGGATATTTTTGTTTGTAATTAGCAAGTAAATGCATATACTTATATGAGATCGGCGACGCTCCGTGCACAACCCGTATACGGCTTTCGACGTTTTGCATTCTCATTATATAGACTCTGTTTTTTGTATATTGTAAATTAGTATTTACTTAAATTTATTATTATTTTTGTTTTAGTTTTAGTGTTTTTATGTAGTGATTTTAAATATAATAAATATTTTGCTAAATTTTGATATTCGCCCGCAATTTTAAATAGATTTCAAACTTCCTGCTAAGCTAATATTTTGTTTCTCTCGTTTTTGTTCTGGTTTTTTGCAGATAAGAAACAATGATTTTGGTGTTTATAAACAAAAAAATTAACAAAATAAAAATTGCAAATTATTTTTAAATTAAAATTATATTAAAAATTCGCTATAGCTGTGAATGTGTTCTCGAATGCATTAGTGAACTGATTCGGGCATTTTTATATTTTTTGCTAATAAAAAGAAAAGATTAATTAATAAAATTAAATAAGTTAATTAGAATCAAACAAATCTCTGTGGTCCGTTCTTTGGCATTGCACAAACCAAAGAGGCGAAATGGAGCCAACCGAAGCTAATATTGGTAAGTCTTTCATTGATATACCATAAGAATATATAATAATTTCTATATGCCATAAATCTGTACGATATAAGTATATATGTATGTATGTAGATAATCTCTGTCCTTAAATATTATATTACCGTATATGCAAGATTTCTGCAGTAGCGTTTTGTTGTATTTTTTTTTTTTTTTGTCGTATGCATTTCATTTGTTGTACTTCACTCTCGGTCAATTTCTGCTGTTTCCATGGAAGAAGATACACTCTTGCATAACAAAACTAACTGAAATGGAGAGTTGGACCTTGAAGTACATAACTTATTTATACATGCATAACGTATCCAGTAATATATACGTCCATGTGTGTATGATTTGTATCGCACATTGAACTGCTTTAATGGACGGTCTACGTTATGAAGTTGTACGACAAGTTTACGTTCAAAAGTAAAAGTAAATTTTTTTCTTTTGTCATTCACTATTGCTGGAAGGTTTAAAGTTTTTAAGATTAAATAGATACACAAAAAGATAAGAAGATACATTGACATGAAGTGTAACGATAATTTTGATATAATTATATTAATTAGTTGCATGCTCACTTATTATATTTCACATAAATTTATACCCGGACTTGATGTATATATTGTTTAAAGTCATTAGTCAAATATTAAAATAATTTCTATTTCATATATATATATATGAAAAGTAGTGTTTCAAAATGCTGGATCATTATGATCTTCAAGTAGGTATATACGAATAGATTCTCAAACGATTACTTCATCCGCGTCTTGTTAATGAGCATTATTCTTATGAAAGTTAAGCCCTCTTTTCTATATATCCACTATATGTATCCACTATTTTATATTATATTATATTATGTATATAGCTATATATTCACTATTATGCACTCGTCAACAATGTAAGATTTTTATGCGATTGTGAATGGGACATTCAAAGTTTTTCATGAACATCTTTTAAGTGGCGATTAGTCATCAAACTGTCTATTCTGTAATAGCACACCATCTATAGATCATATACTTAACGATTGTCCTTCTTTTAATTCTATTCGTAGTAATATCTTTCCTAATATCTTACCTACTAGCTTATTAAAAACAATTACTGTTGAAAATATACTTTTAATGTATAAATATATTAAAGCCTGTAACCTAGTAAATAAAGTATAATTTATAATATCCGAGCTGAAGGCCCTAGCAGCTAGCGCTCGTTTTTCTTTTCTTAATTATAAGATTTTATATTTTGTAATTAATTATAATAAATAAAATAAATAATATATACACATTCTTATTTCTAACAAGTATTAAATTTGATTTTCAAGTCAGTTATGACGAAGGACATTATTTCTTTTATAAATTAATAGTATTTTTTTTTAATTAAGACGTTTTTCGAACAGTATTGAATTGCAATGTGGTCATATGCCCCACTAAAGGAAGTAAACACTAAGAAGAAAGTGAAGATTGAATTGCAATAACAAAATTTTATTTTTTTAATTAAATGAGTTCTTGGCTGATCATACAGCTGTTTAAAATAATGTCAAATACCCATTATTAGGGTATTTTAATATTTTTGAAAATATTTTTAATATTTAATTTTTATCAATTTAACAATTTTTTTGAGACTGCAAGACGATGTACTGAATTTGTGCCCTGTCAAATTTGTGTTCTATCAAGTATGATACAGTGCAACTCTATTACATTATATGACTACGTTGCAGTGTTAACAGTATTCTAACGTGATACTCGATTATATGACAGCATAGAACTAGGCTTGTCCGTTCTTATCAAAATTTCTTGTAGTGCATGTTTACCGGCGCTCGAGTAGGAGACACCGGAACACCTGCCGTGTTTATGTTCAGATTTGTCCAGAACCCGTTTTAGTTTTAGCTTAAATTTTTGGGCATCTTTTTCTGTAGTACATTCGGCGATATAACCAACATAAATTTTGGCCAATCATATTTGCATACGGCTGCATTCTCATTGGTTCAACTTTCTATTTACAATTATAACGATTGTAGAAACAAATCGGCTTTCTTAATTAAAAAATAATTTGATCCTTCTTTCACTTTACCTACCTACTTACTTACCTAATTAAAGGTAAATACAATATGCTTCATATACCTATATACTAGGTGGATTGATAGTTACCTCACTGCACAATAGGTGACAATGCCTGGTCACCTACGGTCTGGTAGTTTCTACGTGATTTTTTACTTCTACTAACGCAGAACTATAGCCAAGGACATTATATATATAATGATGTCCTCTGTCTATTTGTATAAATCGATTAATTATTCTTTTAGAAACTACAAAGTATAATATTTATGATATATAAGGCTATGCCCCTTAAAGTGTTTGATAAATAGCAATGTATTGACATATGTATGTATATATTATGTATGTATTCAATGGAAATTCGTTTACTACTTTATTGTACCAATTTTTTTTTCTCATTACTTTGTAAAAGGAATTTTCAAAGTACCACAATTGTTCCTCTGGCTCTCTTTGCCCCTCATAAAGGCTATACCAACGTATATACATTTAGGTTAGCTACAGTAAAAATTCACTAAAATAAAATATTAAATAAAATAACATTTTGTTTAATTTTCTTATGCAAAGCTGGAGATTAAAAGAGATTTAAAGAGATTATTGATTCAAGTACCTGGTTGTACCTAATTCTGTTTTAGGATTAGGATTGTATTTGCGACTATCTAAGCTCTAAGCTAAACTATAATGTACTGTACTAATATGGAATTCTTTTTTCATATCAAGAACCGAACTCTAATAAGCTGTTTAAAAGTTAATAAATCTTGATTGATTATAATTTTTAATTATAAAAAAAAGCTACTCAGTTTTAGACAGACATTGACCTTATAGTCGGCTTTAAATATTTTTTTTACATATGTGTGCCATATCTATGTGATTTGAAATTTATTTCATTTAATTTTTAATAAATTTTCTTAACATTTAAAGGCACTAGTCAATAAAATAAAAGAAAATATAGCTTTGGTAGAGATTTTTCACAATTTTTTTTAAAAAAACTACCTGTCGAGGTACGTGCTCTCTAACAGTTTTAACAGTTTAGTCGTTAAAAAAGTACCTGAAAAAATTCTGATTGAAAAATCACATTTTTTTTATAATTGGTTTTATGATTTGGAATTAATTAAATTAAAAAAAAATATTTATTTGAATAAAATTAATTTCCATATATTTAAGAATAATAAAAGTATTTAATTATTTGTTAATTAAAACTTGTTTTTAATATTCATTCGTTAATGCCAGTTTCTAAACTAAATAAATTGAGAATACTTATATTTTTTTTTAAATTATATTCTCTACATTTTGTATATAATCCAAAATATTATTAGTTAACAATTTTAATTGTACAAATATTTTAAGTTAATAGAATATTACCTATTCTAATTGGCATTCGTTAAATGGAATTAATTTCATCAAGTATCGACACGTGAAAATAGGTATGAACTAATCATACGCCCACCGACAACTGAGATGAGTTGTCTATGCTATGACGTAGGTTCTCCATGTAAACTATATGTACAACGAAATCTATATGTTATGCAGTCCTATTAATATATGTATAATAACTATTAATATTATTAATTTCCTTCTCATTTGCTTCAATTTATTTAAATTTTAAAAGCATTTAGGTACTTTTTCAATGAAATAATGATGAATTTGTTAACAATGAACCGCAATTATTCGTGGGAGTGCAGTTAATATATATAAACACAATCATATAAAATATTGTTTTTTATGCTCATAAGTCGATCACTAATAGAGATCATTAATCAAGACGTCATCCTGAAAATATATTAACGTAGCAGTTTTTACGTAGCGCGCTACTAGTTACTCAGTTAATAATTAGTAATTGATATGTAATATGAACTAAACATTTTAAATAAACTAAAGGTTTCGCATTATAAATCTTTGGCAGTATATTTATATGTGTACTCCATTATTTTTTTTTTCAAATGTAACGAGTTGGAACTTCACCACCTTCGATTTAGTTGAAATTTTTTTCATAAGCTTCTCTAATAAAATAAAAAGATCCACATCTCGGGAAAAAGTTTTAAATTAATAAATAAAATATACATTTTCGATATGTTATTTAAAAAATAGTAGTTTTTTTAAAATAAGCGTATAACCATATCGGTTTATATAATATCTAATCAAATATCCAGCCAAAGGCCCTGGCAGTTAGCGCTCGTTTTTTCTATCTTAGTTATACGATTTTATATATTGCAATTATTTATATATAATTATGTATTAATTATATTATATAATAAAATAATAAATATTATATATATATAATATATATATATATTTTATAAGAATATAAATATTATAATAAAAAAAAATAATGAAGGGTCTTTAAAACTAGTTAATGTACGTGAAAAATTTGGCAGTGCAAAATTAATAGATGTGTTATTTAATAAAAAGTCATGCAATATCATTATTTCTGGTTATGAGTATTAATAAAAATTTTTTACTACATATCTATGTGTAGCTAAATAATGTCTTTTCATATAAAACGTGTTAAAAACTCGAAGACTCACACACAAACAATACTTTCATACAATTTAAGTGAAAAACACTATTAAACAATTATAAAGCAGAAACAATTTTCATTATCCGTGAAATATAACTAAGTTACGGGCAAAGGACTATAGGGAATAATATTATATTAAAGTCAATCAAACAAACATATTCTAACAGTGTACTTAAATAGAAAGTCTGACACAAACATAATGAGAATTATAAATAGCTTATTACGTCAGTTATTTTTTTGTTTTTGCTAAACAAATAAAATGAGAATTATAAATACACATTTTATAGAAAATATGAACTGTAAAGTACCAATTGTAATATATATAGGATAGGAAGAAATTTTTTAGTTTTTAAAAATTTTTTTTTACATCTATTAACATAAAGCAAAGACAATAAAGTCTACGAAGATTATTATTAGATTCAATATTATATTATATATAACTT